CAGGATACACCTGTAGTCAGGTTTTTTTTACCACTATTGGTGAGTTGACAGAATTGACAAAATACATGTAGTATACTCGAGAAGATGGGTCTTCTTTGTTCATCTGAAGTTTAAATTTACGCTCCCTCCGCAGTACTCGTGGAAACTGGTCCATCCAACCGACAACTTCTCCAACAAAGACTGCCCCAAGGAGGCCGAGGAGTATGAGAGGGTAAGAGTTCTGTTCTGGAGTGTTTCTCACATGTAAAACGTGTTTGTTTGTATCTATAGTTGTAGATAACTTTACGAAAGCTGCTGTACATTTGTGTCAGTAAAGATTTCTTCTTTTTGACATACAAATGGGCACCTTACTAGAGTTCTATCCTGTTCTATAATTGTTGGCACAAGCATGTAAAACATGGAAGCAGACCCAGAATGTCTCCTAAAGTTGGAATGTGTTGTACATTGAAACATTCCTGGCAATTGAGCCCTCATGATCTCCCCTCCCCCCTTCAGGTGACTCGGTACAACTACGACACAAACGAGAAGTTTGCATTTGTTAGAGTACTGTCCTGTTCTGAATGTCTCCTAAAGTTTGAGGAGTATGTCGTAGAGTTTGAGGTGTAAAGTTTGAGGTGTATGATAGTTGAAACATTTTCCCCTTTAGGCAACTCGGTACAACTACGACACAGACGAGAAGTTTGCGTTTGTAAGGGTACTATGCTGTTCTGTAAGAGAACTTTCCTGTTCTGAATGTCTCCCAAAGTTTGAGGTGTATTATGAAACATTTCCCCGCTGCAGGCGACTCGGTATAACTACGACACGGATGAGAAGTTTGCGTTTGTGGAGGTCATCGCGATGATCAAAGGTCTGCAGCTGCTGATGTCGCGCATGGAGTCCGTGTTTAACGAGGCCATCCGCAGAAACATCTACGCAGACCTGCAGGACTTTGTGCAGATCGTGCTGCGCGAGCCGCTCAGACAGACCGTCAAGAAGAAGAAAACTCTCATCAAGAGGTCAGCTGCATCACTAGTGTTGTTGTGATATACCTTACCAAAGTCTATCACAACAAGACACTGTTTCTTGCTTATTGGGAGACAGTTTTGGTTTTCCCTTTATTATATCTTCATTCTAAAGTTATATTAATTTTAATTTTTTTAAAAGATTCAGGCCCCAAAAAGCACCCCTATGCTGGTTGAAACACAGCGTAGGGGGTCCAAATCACAGCGTAGGGGACCCTACGCTCAAACAGCCTGGTGAGAACTATACTTAGCAGATTTGCTCAATCTTTTAGTTTGATCACCACATGTTTTTTTGTTTACCTTTGCAGAAGAAAAACGTATTCCTTTTGCTCCATTTCTTCTTCTTCTCCAAAGAAATAAGGTCAATGACCTAGACCAGATGTCTGTCACCATGGTGACTGGTGCTGTAGCACACACCCTGTGGTGTTGGGTTACATTATGTAGCAAGTGGCAGGACGGATGGCGAGGCTGAGCATATATATAGTTATGAATGTGTTTGAACAAGATTAAATAGAGCATTAGTTTGCTAGGCTAGGCCATTATGTATTTCTTTTGCAAATGTTTCTATTTTTAGACAGTATTTTGAACAGTATTTTTGCCTATTTTTAAACAGTATTTTGAACAGTATTTTTCCATTTTTAAAAGTATTCTGACGTCCATCCGTGACACGTGTGTTTTTCCCCAGTATTCTGACATCCATCCGTGACACGTGTGTTTTTCCCCAGTATTCTGACATCCATCCGTGACACGTGTGTTTTTCCCCAGTATTCTGACGTCCATCCGTGACACGTGTGTTTTTCCCCAGTATTCTGACGTCCATCCGTGACACGTGTGTTTTCCCCCAGTATTCTGACATCCATCCGTGACACGTGTGTTTTTCCCCAGTATTCTGACATCCATCCGTGACACGTGTGTTTTTCCCCAGTATTCTGACATCCATCCGTGACACGTGT